TTTCTGGTGATAATTCTTACAGCTCTTTTCTGTAAAATAAAAATAGGCTTTGTAAATGTTTTACACGCTTCCCCCCAAACATCAATGCAATAGATTAAATGTGGAACAATGATTGTGTTATACAACATGTACAGAGCTTTATCATTTAATAATTCCCTGACTTTGTATAGTACTGCAATAGATTTAGATATTTTTGTTCTTACAGAATTTATGTGATTTTTCCATGTTAGCTGTTCATCAATGATTACACCCAAAAATTTCATCTCATTAACTCTACAAATCTCAACACCCTCAATTTTAAATGGATTATCAACAGTTCTCTTTTTGTTGCTAAATATCATGTATTTAGTTTTATCTAAATTTAATGATAATTTTTTAAGTTTAAACCAAGTTTGTATTTTATCAAATTCTGTCTTCATCAATTCCAACATCCGTTTTACATCTTTACCCAAACAAAAAAATGTGGTGTCATCTGCAAAAAGGACACATTTGAGGAGTCCTGATACATTCACTAAGTCATTCACATATAAAATAAATAACTTTGGTCCAAGTACAGAGCCTTGAGGAACTCCACAAGTGATATTGCACAGGTCAGATCTTACACCATTTATTTGTACAAACTGTTTCCTATCTTTTAAATAGCTAGATACCCAGTGTAATGCTGGTCCTCTTATACCATATTTATTTAATTTTTCAAGGAGAATAGTGTGGTCAATAGTATCGAATGCTTTTTTTAAATCAACAAAAATACTAACACAATACTGTTTTTGATCGACAGCAGTATTCTATTACTTCCATGAGAGCCATTGATGTAGAGTTTTTTTGCTCTAAACCCATACTGACTACTACTTAGAATGTTTTGTTTAGTAATAAATTTATCTAATCTGGTCACAAATAGTTTTTCTAGAATTTTTGAGAACTGTGGTAATAAGGATATTGGTCTATAATTATTGAACACACATTTATCACCATTTTTAAAGAGAGGAACTACCTTAGCTACTTTCATATTGTCAGGAAATATTCCTTTTGAAAATGATAAATTACAAATATATGTAAACGGCTCAATAACATAAATCATTATGTCCTTTACAAACATCATATCCATGTCCACCCAGTCTTTTGATCTCTTATCTGTAAGATTTTTTACAACATTCATTATTTCTTCTTTGTCAGTTCCATTAAGAAAAATACTGTTGTCACAACTTATAACTGAATGGTTCACATTATTGTCCACTTTTGGTATTTTAGCTGCAAGTCTTGATCCAACGTTCACAAAATGATGATTAAATCCATTTACAATTTCATTTTCATCATGGATCTCATTGTCATCCTTCAAAAAATATTGTGAAATACCTGTTTTTGCTTTATGACTTTTCAGAACACTATTTATTACTCACCATGTTGCTTTCATATATTTCAATATTTTGATCTTTGCAGGAAGAAACAGATGGTCAGTTCAGCCAAAAAAGTGAGTTCCTTAAACAACTCATTAGACTCTTGAATATCAAACTTAGATTTGAAGTTTTAAAGAAGTGAAACATCACATGTTGGTTTTCTCCCCAGCAGACAGAACTCGTCTCCAGGCTCGATGAAGGACCCTCCGAGTACGAAAACCCATGTGAGCCTGTTTATTCCAACGTTCCCATGTTCTCGTCCGGTCGCCCTGTCT